TCTGCTGTCATCCATACTTTAATCTGCGTCTAAACTGAAGACTACAATTCTGCGAACAGGATAAGCAGCATATTTTCATCGATTTTGAGAATTTAAGCGATATTTTTGGAAAATGGCTCCGTCGAAAAGTGATATGCTCACCGTGTTGCAAGCCAACCACGTTGAAGTGCCACCATACGCAACGATATCACAGATTCGTTCGGTTTACAACGAATGGGTGAGCGGGCCGCCATCAGACGATATTTCACCTGAGGACCACAACAAAACGATCGACGAATTGGCCAAATCGCTTCCCAAATTGACTGACGAAACTGATGAAAGAGACAACGAACCCCCTGCCGTCACCGAGGTACCGAGATCGACAGTCACAACAACAACAACAACAACCGCCGCCAATGCAAATGTACTGCCGCCTGCTGCCACTGTAAGTGTTCAAACCGTTGACCTGAGTGAATCGAATGCAATCAATGTTACTGCCGAATCAAGTGTTTTTTCATCGACCAATACTGCAACCGTTATGTCATCGACCATTGTCACAAATGCATTGCCTTCCGTCTCACGCCCTTTGCCAAGTATTTCCGTTGAAGAACAAATTCGCCAATTGCAACGCGAACGTGAATTATTGTTGTTGCAACAACAAGTGAATGAACTGAGACGAACAAATCGAGCTCCAGTCCCAGCGATTCGGATTGACATCAGTGCCATCGAGTCAATGGTGCAAAAATTTTCCGGCGATGACGCATACGACGTGCACAAGTGGATCGAAGATATGGAAGACGCGTTTGACATTTTGCAATTCGACGAAAGGGCACGTTTCGTTGGAGCACGTCGCTTGCTCGATGGAACGGCGAAACTTTTTGCACGGACAATTTCGGTACACACCTACGACGAACTGCGTGAAGAATTTTTGACGGAATTTGGTCGCAAATTTTCAACTGAAGAAGTGTATGCACAGCTGCGGTCCCGACGTTTGAAGCCAAGTGAAACCGTTCATCGTTACGTCATTGAAATGCAAGAAATTGCCGCCCGAGCAAGAGTGCCTGAGGTTGAATTGGTTGACTTTATCGTCAGTGGCATTGGTGACACATCGAATGCAGCCTCGGTTTTGATGAGCGCAACCAGTTTACGTGACTTGAAAAATTCGATCGCACGGTATGAGCGACTTCGTGCAAAACCGAATGTGACAACTCGCCGAAACAATCCAATTGTGTCAACAACTGCGGCCCAACCGAATGCAAATTCAGCCACTGTACGCTCAGCCACTGCCGTCAACCCAACTGCCGTTGACACATCAATTCGGTGCTATAATTGTTCCAACTTCGGCCATTATCAAAGTGCCTGCCCCAAACCGAAGCGCCCTGAAGGCTCATGCTTCCGTTGCGGTCAAATGGATCACATCTACAAGAACTGCCCGAACCGCCCTGCTGTACAAGCTGCTGCCAACCGAGGAACAGCCCCAATTGAAGGATACGATACTGAGATCGTCGAAGAAATGAGAACATTAGGAATGGTAAGTGTTTCTTTGGGATATGATAACCTTAAGTGTGCCAAGTTTGAGAGTGTCTTTTCTCTTTTTGATTCCGGTAGTCCTAGATGTTTCGTGCAACGATCACAAGTACCAAATTGGACCACAAAAGCACTAGTCAGAACGAAGTACAATGGATTAAAGAAAACTCCACTGATGTCCTTTGGCAAAACTGTAGCTTACATTAGGGTTTTTGATAAACTGATTAAACATGAGATGTTTGTTGTACCTGATGACACTTTGTTCACACCTTTGATTCTTGGCCGTGATTTCCTTAAGAAAGCCGGCATTAAATTAGTTATGACTAAAAAGTGCTATTCAAAAAATAAATTGTTAAAACTACAAAACTGTTGTAACATTGATATTAGTTTAAGAGAGACACTTGATTCACTTGGCATACTTCGGTCCTCCAATGATTTGAAACGCAATTCTGACGCCCTAGTAATTGAGAACGATTTGAAATACGTCACAAAAGATAAGATAATGAGTGAGCTGACGGTCAACAGCGATGACGAGCCAAACGGAAAATTAATTGATTCATTCTACGAACTGTGTGCTATTGATATTACTTCAAACACCGATGAGCCTTTTAGTATTAATAATTCTTTGCCCTCTGATCAACGAAATCAATTTCGCTCTGCCATTTACGACGCATATTTTAACACAGAACAAAAACCTTCCGAAACTGATGACTATTGTGTGAAACTCGAACTCACAAGTCAAGTGCCTATTTATCGCAGACCTCGGCGACTTTCGCATCAACAACGAATCGAAGTCAGGGAATTGGTCAAAGACTTACTGTCACAAAACATAATACGTCCAAGCAATTCTCCTTACGCCTCTCCCATTGTGCCGGTACCTAAGAAATCTGGTGAAATCAGACTATGTGTGGACTATCGTCCTCTAAATAAAATAACGGTGCGCGATAATCACCCACTTCCGTTACCTGACGACTGCATCGAACACTTAGGCAATAAAAAATTCTTCACGTTATTGGACCTTAAGAGTGGCTTCCATCAAATTAAAATGCATAACGATTCCATTAAATACACCTCTTTTGTCACACCTGATGGCCAATATGAATATGTGAAACTACCCTTCGGTCTGAAAAATGGCCCAGCTGCATTTCAGCGTTTCATTAATAATATTTTGCGTGACTTAATTAATAAAGGCCTACTTGTGGTATATATGGATGACATTTTAATAGCATCGCTCGACTTTGAGACACATCTGAAAACCGTAGTTGAAGTTCTCAAAAGACTGCGTTCATTTGGCCTCGAACTAAATCTGAAGAAATGCAAATTTGCACAAGACGAATTAGAATACTTAGGCCACCACGCGAGCGCGGCAGGCATTCGGCCGAGTGACAGACATATTGAGGCCATTAAGAATTATCCGCCACCAAAAAGCTTCAAGCAGTTAGAATCCTGCCACGGACTTTTCTCATTTTTCCGCCGATTTGTGCCGAACTTTTCGAAAATCGCACACCCCCTGCTGCAACTCCTTAAGAGAGATACACCCTTCGTATTCACTGAAGAATGTATGCAAGCCTTCCTCACACTTCGGCAAAAGCTTATGGAAGCACCGGTATTGTGTATTTTTGATGCAAATCGTGAAACAGAGGTTCATTGTGACGCAAGCAGCC